CCCGCACACAGTCCGCGCACTCCGCCGCCCGCCCGGCCCGCGCTCTCTGTCACACGCGCATACACACACAAACACACACACGCCCTCGCAGCCCTCGCTGTTTCTGCCATCGCGTCCGATAACATTGTACCAGGTGCTAGCCCAGTGCCACCAGGTGCCCTAAGGTCTAGGGACAGTGCCACGCTTGACGCCAGCGTCAGGCAGGCCATTGACCTCCTCGATCAGCCTTGCAGCGTCATGACCTTAGCCGAGCAGGTGTAGGATCCCCGACAGGTGTAAGTGAGGCCCAAGTGACGAGGACACAGCAGAAGGAGTTGAGTGTCCGTGGGCACCATGCCAGCAGAAAGTGAGCAGCAATGATCGGTAGCGAGCAGTGAGAGAGCTCATGATAGTGCCAGCCGCGACTCACGTGTCAGCTCAGTGTTGTGGACAGTGTAACGAGTCCGTGTGTGCATACAGTGTCGTTCTCGGCCTCAGTCGTAACGGAGGAAGAGTGAAGTGTCCTGCAGTAGCAGAGAGAGAGAGAAGCTGGGAGAAGCGAACAGTGTGTGTGAGCGGCAGCGAGGATGAGAGTGTTGTGAGCGCGCGAGCCGAGTATCTGGTGCGGGTCATTCACCCCGAGCTGGCGGTGCAGGCGGCCTCGTGGCCTCACCCTCTCACATCCACTCACGACGCCCATCCGCGCCCACGCCTCCCTCAGGTACATCACGCTCGTCGTCAGGACATCTACAAGGAGTACTCTTAGTTATGGAAAAGCCGCGAGAACAAAAGGTTGGACCTGTGTTGGACTCTGCCTAAATGCGAGTTGTCCAGAGTTCATTGACCCCAGAGCTTTGAGCGGCGCGCACCACTCACACCCACAGTTCCACTCACCACGCCCGCACGCCCATACACTCCACTCTACAGTCTGTATTACTGGACTCTACTAGTGATTTGTATTAGAGTGGATAGGAGAAAATCGAGGAAAAGGAAGAAGACAAGAGGAGAAAGAAGTGAGTAAGCGAGTGAGCGGTGCTAGCGGGGGAGGAGGGGCTCAGTGTACAGTTAGCTTGACGGTACCTGGTCACGCCCCAAGGACCACACCGGACCCTCGCTAATTATCATCCTCGACTCTACATCGCCGCCACCCCACGACACCCGGCAACAGTCTCACGCCCATCCACGCCCGCAGTTGGTAATACCAAGCCCCGAGGAGTAGGCGAAGGTGGGCGTATACGAAATTTCAGTGGTTGTGGAAGGGGGTAGCGCTCCTGCGACACGGGCCACAGTCAACACGGCGACAAGTGTGTCACTGCAGTCTCAACACCCCCGGGGCTCACAGCGGAGTGGCCCTCGTCACCCCGTCGGGCGAAAGGTGCAGCTTACACTCGGTGTCTCGAGGGCGACCATCCAGCCTCGTCGCCAAGAGTTTATTTTATGATTTGTTGATATTCAAGTGGTGCAAGGAAAGCCGAAGGTGCAGATGAAGTTGGTGCTCGTGCAACGATGATGTATTACATATGATCTGTCTCATAGTGTGTGCTACTGGCAGAGGTGTCGGGCTCGTGACGAGAGCCTCAGTGTGCTAGAGATGACAGAAACCCGCTCATCTGTGACGTAATATTGAGACAAGTAAACCTTACATCCTGCCTTATCCCAGGTAGCTGCTTTTAAGTGTTACATTTGTATATGGTGGGACGAAGAACATCAGTGAACCTCGAGTTAGACGACTCGAAGAAGCTATCGTTATTGTTGTTGTTATCATAATTATTTAAGATTTAAGAATATATATATATATTTTATTTTCGAATCGGTTGACATAAATCCGGCAAGCTGGAACCCCCAAACAGAAACCAGTGGGATTTCGGAAGTCTCCTGAAGAACCCGGAGGAAAAGATGGACATATTAAGCGAAATCTTTGGGCCGGGGTGGGAACGGGAGGTGACCGGAGATGCCGTGGACACCACCACGCCCTCCTCCTCCACGCCCACGCCCACAAACCGCCCGCCCTCCGCGACTGATAAGAAGTCAAACTCCATCAAAGGTAAAGGTGCATATGACCGAGAATTTTGTTCTGTAGCTAAGTCTACCTACATCAGGTAAGTGCTTGCTCGCATAGCGGCAACACTCGCAAAATGTTTTGACTGAAGTGAGGTACGAAAGGCCGGTGCACGCGTTGTGTGTGTGTGTGTGTGTGTGTGTGTGTGTGTGTGTGTGTGTGTGTGTGTGTGTGTGTGTGTGTGTGTGTGTGTGTGTGTGTGTGTGTGTGTGTGTGTGTGTGTGTGTGTGTGTGTGTGTGTGCGTGCGTGTGCGTGTGTGTGTGTGTGTGTGTGTGTGTGTGTGTGTGTGTGTGTGTGTGTGTGTGTGTGTGTGTGTGTGTGTGTGTGTGTGTGTGTGTGTGCGCGCGCGTGTGTGTGTGTGTGTGTGTGTGTGTGTGTATGTGTGTGTGTGTGTGTGTGTGTGCGTGTGCGCGCGTGTGTGTGCGTGTGTGTGCGTGTGCGTGTGCGTGCGTGCGTGCGTGTGCGTGTGCGTGTGCGTATGTGCGTGTGCGAATGTGCGTGCGTGTGTATTTCGGTTAGTTTATGCAAATTTATTTTTATGATAAGAAGTAAGCATTAAGTCCCTTGGGAAACCAGACTCCTTTCTCCCGGTGAACTTTTCCGGATGTACATTTTGATAAATTGCTGCTCCTGGGCTCTCAGCGTTCGTCTGTTGTGGCGGATGCTCAGTCCGTGCGCACACCAGCTTCTTTGTGAGATGTTCAGATGTGTTTTTTCTGTTGGGAATGTCAAGCGTACGGACAGGGCTCTGTGATGCGATACGTGTGCAATGAGGGACGAAGGTGGACGTACGTGCTTATCTCTCTGTGTATTTACTCCTGTGATTATCTGCGTGTGTGTGCGTGCAGGTGAATAAGTGAAATGTTCGACCAACTATCAAATTTACCTGAGAACAGAAACTTTTTTTTATAATTCAAATTTGTACTGCTTATCCGGGTATGGACAGTCATGAAAACACCAGCGGGAAAGGTGAAGATTTTTATTAACTGTTCTTTTGTTTGTTTATTTATTCACTCATCTGTCTCCTTACTTACATTGCTCTTTGTGAGGACGATGCAGGTCTGACAGGCATGGCATTACAGGCAGGGAGGAACTAGGAAACAATTACCCCCACTCCTCCTCCCCCTTCTTCCTTTTTTTCTTCTTCTTCTTCCAATCTCTTTCTTCCTCTTCCTCCTCCTCCGCCTCCGCCTCTACCTCCATCTCCACCTTCACTGCTACCGCTACCTCCACTTCCACTTCCTCCTCCTCCTCTTCCTCTTCTTCCTCCTCCTCCTCCTCCTCTTCCATCTCCTCCATCTCCTCTGTCATGGGGAGCAACTTCACAGTGAGACAGCCACAAGTTTATCGTGACACTTCCGGTCAGGCAGAGTACTGTCAACCACTCATCTCCTATTCACCTCTCTCTCTCTCTCTCTTTCAGTCTCTCTTTCTCTTTCAGTCTCTCTCTCTCTCTCAGTCTCTCTCTCTCCCTCAGTATCTCTCTCTCTCTCTCTCTCTCTCTCTCTCTCTCTCTCTCTCTCTCTCTCTCTCTCTCTCTCTCTCTCTCTCTCTCTCTCTCTCTCTCTCTCTCTCCTCTCTCTCTCTCTCTCTCTCTCTCTCTCTCTCTCTCTCTCTCTCTCTCTCTCTCTCTCTCTTCTCTCTCCCCCCCCCCCCCTCTCTCTCTCTCTCTCTCTCTCTCTCTCTCTCTCTCTCTCTCTCTCTCTCTCTCTCTCTCTCTCTCTCTCTCTCTCTCTCTTTATCTCTGTCTCTTTCTCTGTGAAAGTGTGTGTCTATATATATGTGTGTGGAGCATGTGCGGTCGTGTGTGTAAATCATTGGATTGGAGCGCACAGAGCATCAGCTTGGCGGGGATGAATGATGTATGCAGATGCGTTTAAGTAACTGCGGACAGACGCTAAATCCAGGGATCTCGCGTCGCCCCGATTGAATTTGTTCCCGATCTCCCGCACATGGGGGGGGGGGGGCACAGGGGGCGAGGAAGACGAAGGAAGTGGAATCCCGCGCTTACTTGTATTGAGAATCTTCTGAGCAGAGGGAATGGGAAGCGGGATGCGAGGCGACGGCCGCTGTTTCTAAATTCTTTTGTGTTGTCGATGGGGTCTCGGTCTTTCTCCTGCGGACGGTCGTTGTTTCCAGGCTCTCTTGTGGCAGGGGCTGGGGGGGGGGGGCATCAGGAAGGAGATCTAATTGAAGTTTCCTGTACTGTATGCAGATTCGTAATCCTATAGAAATTCATGAATTCCAAGAGTGTTTAAGATTTGATTGGTAATGTGATTGTATTTTCCTCGAATATAAGACTACGCACATATAGGCGTGTGTGTCCGCGTGCCCCTCCTTTTTGATAGCAGTGACACAGAGACCTCGGTCTTTGCGTGGATGAAAAGACTCTCATAAACGGAGAGTCTCGTTTATAGCCCCCCCCCCCTCACCCACTTGGCGGAAACGGCGTCGTGGAGGCGCGCAAACAACCGTAATCTAAAATGTTGTAGGGTTTACCGCGACCCATTCATCCGGCCGTGAGGATCCTCTTTGTGCGGGGGCGCAGGAGGGCTGCCTCCCCGCGCCTCCTGCATGAGGCGCAGGCAAATCAGTCATGAGATGAGACGGGGTTACTGTTCATGTGATCATAGAGAAAGTCTTTCTTATCGTTCAGACTTGGTATTAGCAACGAGTACGGCTCGCAAGGCAATTCGATGGGTCTCCTACAGTTAAAGATCCGGCATGGAGACGAATTCCAATGAATGGCCTTTAAATAAGGGGCTCGAGGCGCGATCTGTTCTCATTAGCTTTCATTACTATCGATAAAATAGATTTACATATACATATTTGCCCATATATATATATATATATATATATATATATATATATATATATATATATATATATATATATATATATATACATACACACATATACATACTTATATATATATATGTATATATATATATATATATATATATATATATATATATATATATATATATATATATATATATATATATTTGTATGTATGTATATATTTCTATATATGTATATATGATTCTTTTTACTTATTTATCTTTCTGAATCATTTACAATCTTATATGTCTGCTCTCTCTCTCTCTCTCTCTCTCTCTCTCTCTCTCTCTCTCTCTCTCTCTCTCTCTCTCTCTCTCTCTCTCTCTCTCTCTCGCTCTCTCGCTCTCTCTCTCTCTCTCTCTTTTTCTATCTCTCTCTCTCTCCTCCCTCCCTCCCTCCCTCCCTCCCTCCCTCCCTCCCTCCCTCCCTCCCTCCCTCCCTCCCTCCCTCCTTCCTCTCCCCCATCCAGTCTGGAAAGGGAAGCAGCAGTTCGAATCCCACAGCGAACGGCCGACCTTGGCGGGCGCGGCGGCAGGTAGGCGTGGGGGGTGAGGGGGATCAGCGAGGCCTATCCGCCATCCGCTTCGCCGCAGGTACCGTAGCGGTCGGTAAGGTGCTGGTGGGGCGGGGCGGGGGGGGGGGTGATGGTGATGGGGGAGGGGGAGAGAAGGGAGAATGTATATTACCAAGGTTAGTTTTGCTCGGCCTTGGGGCTGTTTGTCTCCAGCGGGACCCCGTCTGATGCGGCGTTCGACCACGTCCTTGACCCTGGCAGGAAGGACAGTGACCTCTATGGTGGCAGGAGGGAAAATAGAGTGGGGGGGAAGGATCAGACGGAGGAGGGGAGGGGATCGAGGGAGAAGTTTTCTGCTCCGACGTTACATTCTCGAAACTTGCTTAATAATGTTCCGATGCTGGAATAATCAAGGAAACGCTTGTGAGTTTAACTGCTATTTTTGTTGATCGTCTTTTAGTTACGAGAGTTGAAGTGGCGTGAATGTAATACTCTCGCGGATTACAATATCCTAGACCGACAATAGGTAGTGTCCGGGGAGACAAAAGAGAGCCTTTCGCACATCCTGCCTGTGGAACCTCAACACCGTGGACTTGGAAACAATAACAGTCCCGCCCTTACGGCTTTCATTTGAGCCCCCTTCCTCCTCCTCCTCCTTTTCTTCTTTTTATTTTTCTTCTTATTCCTCCTCCCCCTCTTCCTCTTCCACTTCTTCCTCCTCCACCTCCTGAGATCGCCCTACCACAGATGACGGATTAAGTGAGGGGAAAGATATTCTCGGTGCGGATGAGGGTGCCGCGAGGGTTGTAGGTGGAGCAGGTGAAGGCAAAGGTGGCGCAGGTGCCCCGCCCGAGGTACCGCTACGCCAGCGCTGCATGGGGCAAGTATGCAGGCAGAACGGGAGAGGCGAATCCGGCGGGGAACACCGTGGCCTTGCGCCCCCCCCCCCCCCCTCCCGCGTTTACTCTCGGAGGGCGTCAAGCGTAGACGATCAGCTGCCCTGTCGCCCGAGCCGCCAGTCAGCCAGCGCCCCAGATCATGCCACATTACGCTGAATCTGTCGTATATATCATGCCCGGTCGGTAAAAAAGAGAGGGAACGAGGGGGGTCTCGTCGCCCCACCCCGTTACGACACACACTTGCTTGCTGATCTGTGCTATTCTGCACGCCCATCGGTCCAAAGAATATGGATAGGATGAATTTCATGACAGACACGACCTTGTTACAGATGTGACCCGGTAGCGGGTTGACGGGTCATGTCCCAGTCTCTGTTGCAGCACTGTACAGCTGCGGCAAGGATTATTACGGGAACTATCTCGCGTTATCTTATCAGCATTCTTTTACCTCTTTTTGCCACTGAGATTACTTGTCCGCGTACCATTATGTGCATTTACAAGTTATCTGACTGTTGCCCAAATTTTATGACTGATAGAGGCAGAGAACTTCTATATATGCTTTTCCACTGTTCTGGACCTAACTTTTCACCAATTATCATTTTCCCCAGATGCATTTCAGGAGGATACCAAGCCCAAGCGCATTTATTCACTATTTAGTAGCACAGTCTTCTAACGAGCATCGCATATTGATTTACCATCATAGGGGTAGGTCCGCCTCCACACCCTCCCGTCCCCGTCC